TAGTTACAAAGAAAAGCCAAAACATCTTTTAAACAGTGCCAGATCTCAGATCCCATACCCAATCCTTAAAACAATAAAACCTAACGAAACTGCCTAAACTTTACCCTACTTACAGAAAATGAAGAATGGTGTCTTGGAGAGAGAGAGAGACATGCTTGTCCCTCTCTGTAGCTGCAGAGAACTCACTCAGCGAGACAAAAGGGCGAAAAAAGAAAAAACCCAAATTCCTTTGTCCCAGTTTGAAAAGTCCCACCTACACTCTTATTGGTCACTCCACCTGGCTAGGTGTAGTTAACCCCTTAATCCCCAGGCTGCTGGCTAACCCTCATAATCATGACAGTGGAGTCTCCCTCGGGGCACTGGAGGCTGATCCTGACAGAAACCACCAAGGTCAGAGACCTCCTGGACTACGACAGGGGGGACTGGGTGGATCCCCGAGCGCTCACTCAGAGCATGGGGCTCTCCACCCCTCAACTCCCTCTGCGCCTACTCCAGGAAGTGAAGGCAGCTTTGCCGTGGCCTGCTCTTGATTTCCTGCAGAGAGCCCTGCAAGAGAGTACGCTCCGTCCCTCCCTTCCTGCAAAGCCTCCGTCCATTGTTATTGGGCCCCTGCTCCATGGCGTCTCCTTTTCCCCCTGGCCACTCCATCCCTGGACACCAAGCCGGCTGCAAAATTTGCAGCTGGTCAAATTCTGAGCCACGCCAAGGGAACATCTGTACACACTCGTGCTCCACATTCTGCATTTCCTCACCCTTGTGTCCCACCCTGACACCAAATGGTGGGACTATTTAAGACCAGTGGAGGGTGGGGAACCCCAATGGGTCAGCGTATATTCCACAATAACTCTACGGCCCATCAGGGACATCAGTTGGTGGCTCCTTCATGGAGCCATGAGCATGGGCATGTACTTGGCGCGGTTCACTCCCATCCTGGACACCTGTCCCTTTTATGGCGTGAGGGAAAACCTGGCACACGCTTATCTAGAATGTGCCAGGTTGCAGCCCCTATTCTGGCTCCTCTAGAACCTCTTACTGAGGTTCTGGCTGCACTTTTCCCCACACCTTTTTATTTATGCACAACCCATCCGTGGCCTCACAAAGTCACGAGACCTTCTCGTCAACCCCCTCCTGGCCCTAGCGAAAGCTACAATATATAATACCAGGAGGAGAATGCTAGACGAGGGGGTTCTCTGCGACTGTGGGGGCCTATTTCCGTTCCTCCCTTGTATCACGTATCCGGGCAGAGTTCCTCTGGGCGGCGTCCACTGGCTCCATCGACAGCTTTGAGGAGCAGTGGGCGCTGTCCGGGGTTCTCTGCTCGGTGTCCCTGTCTGGTTCCCTCATTTTGCACCTGTGACCCACACACCCTGACCTTTTTTCATCGTTTGTCCCCCGTAATCAGTTGGTCCTGGGTCTAGTCGCCCCTCCCATGAGGCTGTGGGAGGTGCTTTAGAAGTGGGCGGGCTGATGACTTCCCACTCCCAGTGTTCAAAATAGTGCCCCACTACATTTGGATTGCTTAGTTTTTATTTCTGTGGCACTAGCTGTCGTTGACATAGGTGGTGATAGGCCTTGGCTCACTGCTGGACAGATACAGTTGCCCCTCCCTTGAGCACTTGCACATCCAATTTCATAATTAGATTAAGGCAGTGGTATTAGCGAGGAGCATGGGTCAGTGGGGCAGGTTTACGTAGTGGTTTATGCACAGGGGCTTAGAGTGTATTTTTAAATCTGCTTGATCTGACTTGGAGCTGCACAGATTTGCTTCTCTACAAGGAAATACCAAGCAGAGCATATGCAAGGGAAGGCTAAGGGGGTGGGGAGAGTAGGGATGTTTAATGTAGATTAATTAACTGATCGAATAGCCAGTGGGATTTCCAGCAACTATTTGATTACTCTATAAGGGTACCTCTGCCTTTGAAATGTACAAGAGCACAGTGGGGCTCTTGTACATTTCAAAAGGAAGCCATTTCAAAAGAGTAGTAAAATACACACCTTGGACTTCAGAAAAGCAGACTTCGACTCCCTCAGAGACCTGATGGGCAGAATCCCCTGGGACGCTAACATGAAGGGGAAAGGAGTCCAGGACAGCTGGCAGTATTTTAAAGAAGCCTTATTGAAGGCACAGAAAGAAACCATCCCAACGCGTAGCAAGAGAGGCAAACATGGTAGGAGACCAGATTGGCTTACAGGGGAAATCCTTGGTGAACTTAAGCACAAAAAGGAAGCTTACAGAAAGTGGAAACTTGGACAAATGACCAGGGAGGTGTTTAAATGTCTAGCTCGAGAATGCCGGGGGGTTATCAGGAAGGCGAAAGCACAATTGGAATTGCAACTCGCAAGGCATGTGAAGGATAACAAGAAAGGTTTCTACAGGCATGTTAGCAAGAAGAAGGTTGCCGTGAGTGGTCACGTTTAAGCAAACCGCCCCCTTCCCTTGGGTTCGCTAGGACTGTGCAGAACTCTAGTCTGGCCCCTTACTTACTTGGGAAGTCGTCAATAAATTTAGACCAAATACCAATTTGTGTCTTAATCAATGAGCATAACTTTATTGATGTTGCCACTTAATGAATAACAAAGTCAAAAGATAACAGCTAAGGCTTAAAAGAAAACGAATAAAAGAAAAATACAAAAAACAAATTGTTTCTGCTAGTGTGATTACAAGGATACTTAGTGACGTCAGCTAATTCGTTATTTAGTTTTTTAATTTCTTCTAGATTAACTTTTAAAAGAACTGCAACTATAAGGATCCTTGATCTTATAGCTTATCGAGATTATTTTGTTTCTCTTGATTTTTTTAGAATCTTTTTGTTAGGTTTTTAAACTCTTTTTGTTAAGTTTTTCAGTGTCTTTTGTTAAGTTTTTTGACTCACCCGATCACGTGTAGCAGCATCTCTCTACTGGCCAGGTAGAGGACGACGAATGCTGTTATGATGCCTGCCTCGGTATGGACCTCCTGCCTCTTGTTGTCAGAGAGCAGCACATGAGTTCAGTTTCCAGAATGAGTTGTAGATTATGAGGTACCCGCAGTTGTTACTGCAGGGTATTTATGGCCTAATCTCTCATTGTCTATTCAGTTCTGTGGTTAATTTGAGATGCAAAAAATTTTTTTCCCTTAAGGGCTAGTGAATTAGCTGAGGATGTTGTAAGTAGATGCAAAAAATGTTTTTCTCTTAGATGAAATTTGGTGTGTTGCTTAAGAGCTAGAGAATTAGATGACGATTTTTACTCTTACAAATTTTACTGCTTATCCTAAATTATCATGTTTCATAACACATTCCCTAATACACTCCTCCTTAACAGCAAAAAAGGCAATCCATGTAGTCTGCGGTTAGGCTACTTCCTCTTAAACATAGCTGTCTGTGCCTTTGCTATGGCTTAATTTTAAAGAGCTGCTAAACATACATGACAAAGGTGATCAGAGAGGGTGTGGGGCCCTTACTGGATGAGGGGGGTAACCTAGTGACAGATGATGTGGGGAAAGCTGAAGTACTCAATGCTTTCTTTGCCTCTGTATTCACGGACAAGGTCAGCTCCCAGACTAATGCATTAGGCAGTGCAGTATGGGAAGGAGGTGGACAGCCCTTGGTGGGGAAAGAACAAGTTAGGAATTATTTAAAAAAGCTAAACGTACATAAATCCATGGGTCCGGACTTAATACATCTGAGGGTACTGAGGGAGTTGGCAAATGTCATTGTGGAGCCTTTGGCCATTAGCTTTGAAAAGTTGTGGAGATCGGGAGAAATCCCAGATGATTGGAAAAAGGCAAATGTAGTGCCCATCTTCAAAAAAGGGAAGAAGGACGATCCAGGGAACTATAGGCCGGTCAGTCTTACCTCGGTTCCTGGAAAAGTCATGGAGGGGATCCTTAAGGAATCCATTTTGAGGCACTTGGAAGAGAGGAAAGTGATCAGGAATAGTCAGCATGGATTCACCAAGGGCAAGTCGTGCCTGACCAATCTGATTAGCTTCTATGATGAGGTAACTGGCTCTGTGGACATGGGAAAGTCAGTGGATGTGATATACCTTGACTTTAGCAAAGCTTTTGATACGGTCTCCCACAATATTCTTGCCAGCAAGTTAAGGGAATGTGGATTGGATAAATGGACGGTAAGATGGCTAGAAAGATGGCTAGAAGACTGGGCCCAGCGGGTAGTGATCAACGGCTCGATGTCAGGATGGCGGTCGGTTTCTAGGGGAGTGCCCCAAGGTTCGGTTCTAGGACCGGTTTTGTTCAATATCTTTATTAATGACCTGGATGAGGGGATAGATTGCACCCTCAGCAAGTTTGCAGATGACACTAAGCTAGGGGGAGAGGTAGATATGGTTGAGAGCAGACATAGGGTCCAGAGTGACTAGACAAATTGGAGGATTGGGCCACAAGAAATCTGATGAGGTTCAACAAGGACAAGTG